GCCGCAGCCCCAGCAGCCGGCTCCATCGCCGCCCGCTGCCGCGCCTCAATGGCCACAGTGGCCGGCACCGGCCCTCGCTGCGCCCCCCATGCCACCCGGGTCCGTACCGCTGCATCTGCCGGCCCCGCCCCCGCCCAGCACGGGGCCTGGGTCACCCACGCAGGGAGGCGTACCAATCCAGCAAGTGCGCTTCCCGCCATCACCGTCCCCAATACCGGCCTGCCTGACCGGATCATCGCCGCCACCCGTCTACACGTCGGCTGGAGACCCGCCGACACCCACTCTGCAGTTCGGCGATCCCTCCGGCTCGGCGGGGCACTCCGCGGGCCGCAGCCATGCTGATTGCGCGCCCCAATCCTCGCTGCTTCGCACCTCCGAGCTAGTCGGCCACGACGCTCCGACTCAGACACCTCCGCGGTTTGCCAAACTGGACTTCGCCACTTATGACGGCATGGAGGACCCCCTCAACTGGCTCAACCAGTGCGAGCAGTTCTTGCGGGCAGCGCACCCTCGCCTCGGAGCATACCTGGCCCGCCTCTTACCATCTCCGCGGCGCGGCACAGACCTGGTACTACGCCCTCGAGCAGGACGAGGGCAGCATGCCCCCTTGGGAGCGCTTCCGCGAGCTCTGCCTCCTTCGTTTTGGGCCACCGATCCGCGGGAGCCGCTTGGCAGAGCTAGGCCGCCTTCCCTTCACCTCCACGGTTCAGGACTTTGCCGACCGTTTGCAGGCCCTGGCATGCCACGCGTCAGGCGTGATGGCGCAGCAGCGGGCCGACCTCTTCGTCGGTGGACTTCTAGATCACATCCGCGTGGACATGGAGCTTCGGGGACCCCAGGATCTCCAGACGACCATGTACTACGCCCGCGCGTTCGAGCGCCACGCGGTGGCCATCGAGCAAGACTCACCGTCCCGGGCCGCTGGATCGCTACCCTGGCCGGATGTTCCCACGCAGGGTCGGCCTGCTTAGGCTTCCACGGCACCCCTCGCCGCGACCACGGCGCGCCCGTTCCGCCGGCTCACCTCGGCCGAGCTACTCGAGCGTCGCCGCCAAGGGTTGTGCTTCAACTGCGACGAGCCCTACACGCCCGGCCACGTCTGCCCGCGACTCTTCTACCTGGAGGCTGCAGACTACATTCCGGAGGACGCCGTCGCCGCTGACCTGGCTGCCCCAGCTGTCATGAAGGTGTTTGACGCTGGTTGATCACCTCGAGGAGTTCAGCAAGCGCTTCCCCACCTTACAGCTCGAGGATGAGCTGTTTGTGCAGGCGGGGAGAAGTGTTATGACCGGCATATTAGGGGTTTAGCCGAGTGGCCCAAGTTATCTTATCATTATTAGGGGCTTAGCCCAATTATCTTATCGTTATTAGGACCGTTTGCTTAGGAGTCAAGTAAACCTCTCTATATAAGGAGAGGATATGTATCAATCTAATCAAGCAAGAAGCAATCATTATTTGCTCGGCTTCCCGAAGGGAGCCGGGAGACCTAACCCTAGCCGCCTCTTGCGCCGCCGCCGCCTCTTCTTCATCGCGCCACAGCGCCCCGCCGCCGGCAGCCACAATCGCATCTCCGTCAACCCTCCCCCTTCCCGTACAACCTACGCCCTAGCCCAGGTAGGATCCTAGCTCCTACCACCTTTCCATCAGTTCAGACTTTTGGTTGCATTGGCGAGTGTATGAAGCTTAGCATGGTATTAGAGCCTAAGGTCTTGAGTTCAAGTCCTGACTTTCGCAATTTATTCAAAAATTGTTGCTGCCCCCGTTGTGTCCACGTATAGGCCTCTTGAGCCATATCTCTGAGTCTATTCATGTGTTGACTTCCCCTGCGTCACATGTGAGAGGGGGTGTTAAAGTGTATATGTGGATTGCCTAGCCCTTTCCATCAGTTCGGACTTTTGGTTGCGTTGGCTAGTGCATGAAAAGCTTAACACTGGCGACCGGGGTGTTTATTGAGGGTCGTTCATCATCGAAGACGCAATCATTGCAGTGCTTTGAAATCATCCAGGGGACGAGCATGGTTGTGGACGCAAGGCCTTTGTGCATGGGCTTCGGGGTGCTCTGCCTGGCCGAGAGCCACCAATCATGGAGTGTGGCGTCATAGTCGGGCGGCAGGCAAGAGAAGCGCAGACATGAGAGGATCGCGTACTACACCTGCCTGTAGAATGGGCATCCCAGGAGCAGTGTTGTATCGTCTCCGGAGCCTGATCGCAAGGGGGCAGCGTTGCGGGTGTGGCAGGTTGCGGCGTGCGAGGCGGTCGACCATCCAGCAATGGTCTAGGTTGGCAAGCCAGTGGAAGAGACGAACATGTGGCGGCGTCCAGCACTTCCAGTTGAGCCTCCAGGCCTGACATTGGATGGAGCCGTGGAAGGTGGCCAGGTAGGCAGAATTGGTCGAGTAGTCGCCATTCACGCTCCACTTCCAGCACAGACTGTCTGGCTCGGCATTGAGAGCAGTGTGCTCAATCATGCGCTAGAGGTGCAAGTATTGGCCTACCTCTTGAATGCCGATCATTCCGTGGATGTCGGATGCCCAATGGTTCTCATGTAGGCCGGCCTCGACCATCCTGGTTTTGCGGTGTCGCTTGGGGATGCAGGCATACAGGAGCGGCGCGACCTCCCCAGTGGCGTGACCGTTGATCCATCGGTCCTCCCAAAAAAGGGCGCGCTGCCCATTGCCCACCGTTGTGGTGGTAGACGCGAAGAAGAACACGCGTTCCTCGCGCAAGAACTGCATGTCGAGGCCGCTCCAGCCCTTGCCATCGTTGACGCGGCTGAGCCATAGCCATCGTGCGCAGAGCGAGTCCGGTACGCTCCAGATCGTGGACACCAAGGCCACCCAGGTGGATAGGACGGCAAACGCGCCGCCAGTTAACGTGGCAATTGCCACCGTTGGCCTTGGTGCGGCCCGCCCAGAGGAATCCGTTCTATCTTTTCCAAGAGCTTAAGTGTCTTCTTAGGTGGCGCCAACACTAGTAGCTGGTGAATAGGGATCGCGCTCATGACGGATTTGACAAAGGCGAGGCGGCCCGCCTTGTTCATAAGCCAAGCCTTCCAGGTGGGCGGCTTCCCGGCGACCTTGTCGACGAAGCATGCTACTACTCTGGTGAGGCCAATTAGCGAACCATAGCCTAATCCATGGCATCCTATGTTGGAGTGCGATCATCTGTGCCATGGTGGTGTGTTAATCCTACAGCTGTTAATCTAAAGGAAGTAATACTAGCATATAATATCTCTTTGGGCCAAACTTGCCAACTCTTAGAATTAGGACTTTGGCAGTGACTATGGACTGGCATCAGGTCGGAGTCTATGGAAACATTTTAAAATTTTACTCATGAAATGGAAACACTGTTGAAACATACACAACATAAAAGTTCTAAGATGAAAACACTTATTCTAAGTTGTTCCCATGTAACAAAATTGTGATGTGGAAACACTTTTTTCATGTGATGGAGGCACTTTCCTTGTTCAATTGAAACTCTATTTTCCTTCCAAAAGCTAAAATCAGACTACAGATGTAAAACATTTCCCTAATACTTTTGACTGAAGAGAGGACAGTAGTCCAAACAGATGGCTGACGTGCATAGGCTGTACCACATATGGTTTGGACTTTAACCAAAATTTGAATCCGGGGATGTAACAGCATGCCTGCCATCATCATCCACCAGGTCCTCGATGATAAAACCTAATCCAACCATCTTATTATTGTTTCTTGCTGGCCCTCTGGCCCTTTGCTGGCCAATGCCTTCCTTCAAAGTGTATGGTTGATCGGGTGGAACCGCCTCAGCCTACACTGAACCCTACCATTGATGCCTAGGACATCAGAATATATGGCTTCTTTTTATATTTTCAATAAATATATCATGTAACTAATAGTTAGCACATGCGTAACAATCATCTTTTTTTTTTCTCTGTGACCTGACACATGTGTACAAACAAACCATATGTTATCAGAACCTACAACCTGCCTTTTTCGGTCAAATAAAACAAACAAACCATATGTTATTGGTACCTTCTGTGTGAAGAGGTCAAGGGCATTTTTGTATACCAGCCCCTGGAGGTTGTATATATTCTTATGCCTCTTCGAACAATGCTTCGCAATATCCTCTTTTCTTGTGGTGATTATGATCCGGTTTGCTGTGCCTGTTGGAGGAAAATGTTGTTTTATAGCGTCCCATTCCGTGGTGGACGAGAGATCATCAAGAACAACCAAGTATTTCCTTCCTTCCAAATACTGGTACATGTTTTCCACATCCTTTTCTCCAAACTGTCTAGATAAGCTCTCAATGAGCTTTCCCCGATTGAAAGGATGCATTATTGTGACAAAAGCAGACTTCTCAAACATGCCACTGAGCTCTTGGCTTTCATAGACATCTCTGATTAGTGTTGTTTTCCCAAGACCACCCATTCCGCACACAGAGACCACCTCAAGGTGTTGGCTATCACCATTTGTAATTATTTCAATAGTATCAGATTTTTCTTGGTCACGTCCGATGGGCTCAGATTCCTTCAAAACAACTAAGCTCTTCCTGTACAGAGAGTTATTATTATACATACAGGATATATTTGAGCTAGATCCTGTTTCCACCAGATCTGCTGCATCTTGAAAACTCTAGACATAAGAAAACAATGATTAGGCGCTGCTTTATTTTTTCACTGGACAATCTTTAGTCAAGTGCTAAAACTTTCATAAGTTTATGTAATCTTCAAAACTGAACATGTAAACAATATGAAACATGTCTAATTGCGTAACCATGTGGGGTAACATCGCCTCTAAAAACTTTAAATCTCCTTTAGGAGTAGTGTCCAGGGTAGTTAATTATCCGGCCTAGCAATTACCGAGGTTCACTATCCCCTAAACTAGTTGATGTGAATGAAGATCATGTTAGCACATAAAGTTCTTGATGGCCCTTCTTGTAATTCATGTAAACAAAAACGTGGTAGGAATTGTATTCTCCAGATTAAAATAATAATGCAAGGCTATTCAATTTAATTAAGTGTCTACGGTTGTGGATTCAGAATATTTGAGATATTTTGCATTTTACAATTTGGAGCCAAAATTAGGGAAATTAAAATCAATGCACAAGTATGATTTGGCCTGGGTGAATTAAATAACGTAAGCTCATGGTCCTTAAATGGAATATCAATGAAATGTTACCCGCGAATGTATAGATATATGGACTTATTGATCTATATAAAAATTGAAATATCAAATGTAAAGACTACTACTCCCTCTGTTCACTATTATAAGATGTTCTAGCTTTTTTTCTAAATCGAATGTATGTAGACGCATTTTAGTGTGTTTGGTCACTCATTTCAATCCGTATGTAGTCTATATTGAAACAGCCAAAACATCTTATAATACTGACCGGAGAGGAAGTACTTTACTAGATTTGGCAACCTATTGATTGCTTCACGTTATTGATGGTGTTCTTTGTTACATTGGTTCATGTGTACTTAGTTCAGCAAGCCAACAAGAGGTAGCATTAGTAAGATGATATTCGGCAAATCAGAGTTTGAATGTCACCTTCTCGTAGAAAGCATGAAGATCAGCAAACAACTGCCTGTGCTCTGGTGCTACATTCTCCGGCCCTACGCATAAGCTTGCAACTTCAACTTGCTGTGCCGACACTACGATTCGGCTTCCTTTCTTGCTTTGTGGGAAGCATGTTATAATGCGATCCCACTCTTCAACGGTGTGTATGTCATCAATCACAATCAGGTAACTCTTCTCACTGATATATGTCTTGAATTCATTAGCCAAATCCTCCTCACTCATCATCCCCATCTTTCTCAGAACTTGGGCATCTGCAGGATTTTTCTCTGTTTGCTTGGCCTGCTGAAGATAATGTACATAGAGCTGCCGGGCAATGCTTTGCAAGAACTTTGTCGAATTGAAGGGTCGCACCAACCTGATCCAGGCAAAACACTCGAATTTCTTGTGTATCTTGAGATCTTCGTAGGCTCTTTTGACGATGGAGGTCTCTCCAAGACAGATAGCATTTGTCCTTGACACCGCAATGACTCTAAGGTCATTGTCCTTCTTGCTGATGAGCCGAACGAGAGCCACTTTTGCCTTTTCATGCTGCCGCCTTACTTCGTCAATGTCAGACATGGTTGCACTGGCGACGGCCAACGACTGCTCATCAGCGGAGATTGGCTTGGATGCCTTGATGAGGTGGTAGCGCAGGTTCCTCTGGCTGACATCCTCAACCTTTGCTCTGAGCTCCTTCATCTTCTTGGCCACGCGCCGCCGGTGCAGCAGCTTGCGAGGAAAACGCCACCAGGACCTCCTCACCGTGACACGAACAGCGAAGTCCTGGAGGCAGTCCTCGACGTTGTAGGCAACGTCGCGGACTTGCTTCACCCAGATCTTCACGACCCTGTTGTGGCTGTCACGGTCGTCGTGCGCGGCCATCAGGAAGCCCTGCATCATCTCGAGCTCGTCGGCGATGAAGGTCTGGTCGCGCTGGATGCCGAGGTGGAGGGCAGCCTCCTTTGCGATGGCAGACTCGGCGTAGTGGATCGCCCTGTTCAGCACGGCCCTGGTAAGGCTCGTCACTGTCTCCTCGATTAGCCCCATGAAGCCGTTTCCCTCCTGGATCGGGATCTGTGTGCGTATATTGGGCTGGTACTGCTAATGCTGCTGCTGGTGGCCGTGGGAGTAGAGGTAGAGAAGCCCTACAAGGCTACAGTGGATGGTTTAGAAGAGGAGCTCCATCAGCTACAAGACCGTGCGTGTCTCAAAGTTAACCATTGTTTGGTATATAAGAAAAATAGAAGAAAAGGAGGACTAGAGTCTGTGCTCCATGCTGTGCGACCAGAAGGAGCTCGTCGTCGGTGCCAAAGGTTGCCCCGCCGGACCGGTAGGCTGTGCCCCTCAATTTGCCGGGCATCTTACCTTCCAAAAACACGAATCCGTGTCAGACAACAATGCATTATGAAATTATTGAACATGAAAAGATAAGCAATGGGCACCTCAAAGTTCACTTTGAGGAGTTGTGAACCAATCTCTAGGAGCATGCATGTGATATGCGTGCATATACATGTAGATTAAGGATCCTAATTAAACCCATGGTGGCTGGAGTGGAGCATGAGAATGGAAAGAAAGCAACCCTTGTCTCTGTGGTGCGGCTCCTTTATTATGGGAAATACCAAATAGAATGCAAAGCCTTTACTGATCTTTCTGTTGCTCTGTGCTCTGCAGGCTGGGCGGTCCAGGACACACCGGGAAAGCAGCTCGGCTACTTACAGGAGAAGCATACGATGCCTGATCACTCCTACACAAATGGTAAGCAGGTGAGGAGTTCATTGCTCAAACAAGCATATCACTGGCCGGTACAAAGTGCTTTACACCACGCAGGCTTTGCCCTGATCCTGATGAAAGCGGCTGGTGTAGGTGAGGTTTGAAATTTGAATTCTCTTCTTTCTGTCGGTGCTCTAAAGTGTAAACACTTTGCCAGGATAGCAGGGTTTGTGTCTATTCTGGTTGTAGTACTACGTTGCTAAACTAATACTTGCATTGTAGTATGTGCCACGCCGGATTATGTTTCGTTTCAGTTAAGTACGACAGAGGAGTACTCCCACCTTGAAAAGAAAAAACTCACGAACAGCGTCTCAGTAGAAACAAGTGGATCAGTGCCTTGGCTCAGTGGTTGGGCATGCGGTTATGCAGCCTAACAATCCAAGTTCAATTCCTAGAATTGACAGGTGATGCACAGGGGTTTTTCCTCATTTATTGAGGGTTAAGATTGGTCTGTGGTGGAACCACCCATCAAGAAATATCTTGATACTCATTTAAAAAAAATTGAGGACCATATTTATATTGGTACTCATACTAAAATGGTTGTATGCATCCATAATTGGTGCAGAGGCCGGGAAGTGAAAATCTCTCCCATTTTAACCCTGTTTTGAGGCATCTACTGTCGCCGCTGCCACTGGTGTTGGCCGCGGCGGCGCCCGGTGCTAAGGCGCTGAGGCAGGAAGAGGTGGCGGCAACCACTCAAGGCGGTTGGGGCACCTCGGGTTGGGGGCTTCACACCGCGGTCAGGGCAGCTCCCTGACCATGTGGCGGTAACCGACGACCCCATGGCTGGTGGTGCTGGCGATGGTGGGCATGGCGGCAACCGCAGATCTGGATCCCATCCAAATCCGTTGTTGATTCTTCACTTGGATGGTCGGCGGCGCGATGAGGGCTCCGGTGAGGGGATGGAGGATCTTCGTTTGAGTACCGGCGGCGACGTACGTCTTTTCATGGCGAAGCTCCATGTGGTTTCAGCTAGCCGTGAGATCGGGACGACGCGGCTTCCAGCGAAAATCGCGCCTGACTGCGGTCTTGGCGGACGATGGTGGCGTCTCTAATGTCGTTTTCTTCTCGAGGCATCGTTGTTGCAGGTCAAATCAACTCGATCGGGATGTTTCAAGGGAAACTCTAGATCTAGGCCTACCGGATCGGACGATGACGGCGCCTTCGGTGTCGTTCTCCCTCATGGGGGCATCGTCTTGGAGCAAGTGCTGGCTGGAGGGGACAAGATGAGAAGCGGTGTTAAATGTACCGCAAGGCCGACTGCGGATCCCGACGGCATGGCGCTGCGGTGTTTCGGCGACGGGCGTGTGTGGATGGATACGTGCAGGATGATGCCGTTGTCTGGCGCCGGCGACAGGCCTGGCAAGGTTGGTGCGTCAGTACCTGCTCTAGAGATGGATCGGTGTAAGACGGCGGCAGCGACCTCTAAGAGTGCGTCGGACCGGTACGTGACCCAGTCCCGGCATTGTGGCTTGGCTGGGGCATCCGGCTTTAAATGTTAGACTTTGGTGCGATGTCTGTTTGGTATTCGGTTCGGACATCTGCATCCCTTCATCAAGGAGATAAGAGTAGCGAGAGGTGTTGCCAAGATGATAGCTTCATGCTTACTTATGTACTACTTTGTGGATAATTATTAAAATGGCTGCTGATGTGAACCTAAAGGTTGTAGTGTACTGCGGGCTCCGGTGCTTGTAGGCACAGATCTGGATGTAGTTTTTGCTTTTGATGTGCTTTGTACTAGTACTATCTTATATAGTTATGAATAGATCGAAAGTCTCTAAAAGAAAGCAGCTCAGCCTTTGTTTATTTTTCTCTTAGCAGATGATTTGATGATGAGGAGCACGTGCGTGCGTGCGTGCTTCACCCGCGTTGAGGACCGAGCGACGCCCGATCGACGCACGCGTACGCACACACCTTCCCTTGGAGATTCCACGCCACTGCTTTGCGCGCACGCCACGCCACTGCAAAACCTGGCCCGAATATGCACTCTCAGTCCGTCGGGCACTCAGACCCGGTACCGATACCGAGTTACTGTCGCATCGGCCACTCTTTATACATAACCTCAAGGAACAACACTAGCTCAATCCTCCTCCATCAATCGCGTCAGGACCTAGCTCTTCTTCCTTCCTTTCTCCCACAATCTGCATACGGGACGAGGAGCAGCGACCAGCCGGCCGGCAGCATGGCGCCCCCGGAGTACGTGCAGATCGTCGGACAGGCACAGCCGGCGTGCGTGACGGCGCCGCTCCCGGTGGTCTGGCTGGAGGGGGACGTCCTCGCAGAGTACGTGCAGTTCCTCAAAGAGGCCGAGGAGGCCGCAGCACCGCCGCTTCCCGGCGTCAAGTGGCTGGAGGGGGACGTCCTCGCCGAGTACGTGCAGTTCCTCAAAGAGGCGGAGGAGGCCGCAGCACCGCCGCTGCCCGGCGTTAAGTGGCTGGAGGGGGACGTCCTCGCCAACTTCCTGCAGTTTCTCGGACAGGACGAGCAGGTCGTGCACTACGGCAGCGACAACAGCAGCAGCGGAAGCAACGACGGCGACTCCATGTGTGAGGACGAAGATGACGACGAGGAGGAGATGGCGTATCTGCTGCGGCACATCACGAGCCTCCCGGCGTTCATGGCGCGCGCGGCGGCCGCCACCTCGGTGTAAGATTAATCGGGACGGCCTCGTTCGGATCAAGAGATCTTAGAGATGGTAGCTGCTTGGTTACTTCCTCCTGCTTTCATGTGTGTTCTGTAACAGTGCCTTATGCCTGATGAAAAAGAACAAAGATGAAAACGGCCTAATTTTATCCGTCACACATGCGTGTTACCACTACTGCATGCCTCTGTTTTTTTATCATGTTGGGTCAGAGAATAATGCATTTTATTTGGGATTGCTACTTTCTAGTATAACGAGAAATGAATATGAAGAGCTACTCAAGCGCTTGGGTAGAGGGCAAGGTCATAACTGAAAACACAGAAAATCCCTAATTCACTAAGCAGTGTACAACGTTTGCAACCGGTAGATAAATCAAACGACATGTGGCTCCGCGATACTGTTATGATAAGTAAGTTTTGTTTGGGCAGATGTTGCTACCAGCTTTTTATTATCTCATGTACTCAACGATGTAACACTGCCACAATTTTAAATAAAGTGCCATGTGGCTTTCCTTTAAAAAAAAGGATGATGTGGCTCCGCGCGTTGTCGCTAGAATCATGTTAAAATAAAATTTACATGTAGATTCTAAAAACAGTAAAACCAAGCAAGAGTGTCCCTGCGTTCGGGCAGCCAGCACGATCTGGTTTTCCCGTTTGCTCCCCTCATCTCAATCCCCTTGTTGCTGCTGTCGGATGACGCCCGTATGGCCAACGGCGGCGGCAGGACTTGGGGCGGATCTGTATCGGCTCGAGACAAAGATGGCAGCGTGGTGACGTGCAACAGTGGCAGTGAAGCAATGCAGACGTGGGGAACACGGATGTGGTTGCACGGCAGGCGGACGCCCCGGTCTTGGTTGGGGGCTTCTTTCCCTGGTCCAGCACATCATCGACGGCTCGGTTCCATCACCTTGCCTCACACAGAGTTTGGATCCCGTGCCCCCACACATTGCCTTCCTTCTTCGTCTACCTCTGACATCTTAGTGACAACGAGGCAGAGGGTGCAAGGAATGGTTGGAGGCATTTGTGTTAGCTTTAACACCCCCCCCCCCATCTCAAGTTTGGTTTGTTGAAGGTGGTTATGTGATTCAAAGGACTGAGACGGTGTAGATGATTTGGCAGCGACGATGGCGGCGTGATGGCCGGTGGTGACCTTAGAGATCGTAGTTGTGCTATAGTCAATGTTGCAGAGGCATTGGTGCACGTGTGTGCGAGTGGGTCTGCTGCTAATGACGTTTCCTTTGAGGTGCGACTCGTTGGCATGGCGGGACAGCGGCATCCCCTGACCTTCATTAAAATCTAGCAGCAACATCTGCTCCTGATGTTTGGTGGTGATGAAGGCCACTCAATGCGCCACGATGTTGTGCTCCTTGGTGCCCCGCGTGGCTGGCCTGATTGGCTCGGCAACGGGCACCTCTTGGCGACGGATGATTCCTGGATCAACGGCAGAAGGAGACGGGTGTCATAGCCTCCTTTCCGCGTCATGGTGACATCATGTGGTTACTCATGTTTCACAGAGGTCACTTGGTGATGTCCATGTTAGGAACTACGCACCATAGAAGGGCTCATATTACAATATCCCGTGACCATGGGCATGTGCATGCTCTTCAATGCAACATCGCCTTCTTCGACAAGTGGTGGTGGCAACATAAGGTGACTTTGGCTTGGCGGTGCTCTTCAGGTACGAAGTCTCGAGCTCCGGGTGAAAACCCTAGGTCTGACTATCGATGGTAGTACTTGGCAGTGGCGGTGTTCAAGCGCCGCATCCTTGTTGAAGTCATTGCTTTGGAGATAACTCAGATGTGCTCTCTCAGGTGAAGACCAAGGATCTAACCTTCAGTGTTTGAATCCGGAAACAACAATGTTACCATGCTTGAGGCGTTGCTTTTGAAGAACCTTTCTCGTAGTTCTTGTGTTGCCAAAGACGGTGGATGGTGCTGCTGCTTATTGTTTATGTGTCGTTGGTCGCGTTTGTTGTCTTTGTTTTTTCTTCTTTTTTATTTTCATCCGCCTAGGCATAGCTTCGATCTTTGATGACTTCGCTCATTGTCGGTATGATCTTTCGTGTGGGTGTGTTGTTGTTGGTTGTGTGCATCCTGGTTATGCACATGCCAGGCATATGTTCATTGTGTTTGTATCCTCTTGATGTTTCATTTTGAGTGAATAAAAACTCTCTTTATTGGGGGGGGGGATGAAGTACGTGAAAAAAGATGTACAAAAGCAAACGTTCGTACATACGCACATGCACTCACTCGTATGGATGCATGCATGCACACCCTACCCCTATGAGCACCTTCGAGTGACTGAGGCGTCACATCATCTTGAGATTGATGAAGTCATGATAGATGCATTCGTAGTCTACGGGCACCTCTCCTCATGCAGCGAGGCACCAAATCGTCGACGACGATTGAACGAGTCGCCGCCCCGTCCGTCCACCATTGGTGCTAGAGAACAAGCGCG